GATTTCTATGTCCTAGGAAGCCAGAGTCCGTGGCTTTGTGGTTGAGAGCAGACAGGACTGGGAAGATTGCACTGGAAAGAGTTACGAAGAACCTCTGCTTCTTGGAACTTGATAACCACATTCCCCCGCCCATCCACCCTTACTGCTCAGAGATCTGCACAGAGCAAGCAGGCGCTCTGGTTTAAAAAAATTAATCTGCCAAAGACTGCAGCCGCTCTTCTGAAGTCAGATTATATTTTAAAAGGTCTATAGACATTGAAACTTTGCTACAGGAAGTTAAACTCACGCTAAAAATAAATAAAAGTTAAGGAATGCATCTAGAATTCCAGTTTAATCCCCAAGTTAAAACTGTTCCCGCGCACTCCCAAATAGCACACACAGATAGTACAAATAAGTGTCTGCATAGGCATCTTTCATATACGTATTCTTGTTTTTAAAAAATAGTGAATTTTCATTCGACAAAGTTAGGCTTTCTTGTGTGTTTTATCAGCAGAATAGGACTGGTTTTGTTGACAAAGTCTGTATTTACATTGTATTTACATTATCTTGAAATTTTTTTGGAGTGGGGGAGATACACGCAAGATAGATACAGAAGGTCCTCTTCTTGAGAAATTGAAACTCGCTTCCTCAGTAAGGGCCTGCAATTTACAAAGAACTACTTGCATTATTGAACTTGGACTGATTTTCTCCCAGGGAAGGGAAGTGGTGGGTTATTTAGAAAACTCCATTCCAAATACAATCTGGGAGAAATCTAACATTTATACAAACACATGCCAAAAAAAAAAAAAAAAAGCAAAAATGCTCAAAACTCCATTTTAAAATCTCTCTTACAAAATTATCAAAACTTGGAAAAAAATCTTCTCAAGGAATTAGATTATTTTAATGCTTTCTGGGACTGACCTACTTACTTGCCATTTCTTTAAAAGTAGAAAAAGTATTTACCCTTCTCATAAAATACTATTGCCTCTAGATAGCTCAAAAAATTTGGAGAGCTTTCCAATATCCTTCAACTAAAAAGCAAACCAAAACATAGACTTATATACCACCACCATGAACAAGAAAATAACAAGAACCTATTTAGTTCTACTGCCAAAGAAGAAATATGTCTTTTTTTTTTTTTGTAAGATGCCATTGAATGGCATTTCTAGAAGAGCAGTAAAAAAATGGAACATCCAATGAAACAAATTTACTTGCAATGTTCTATAGTTTTGGCTAGCTGTGTTCATTGCGGGATTTTTTCTCTACTTCAATAGACAATTACTTCTGACTGTGGTGCTACATTTAGATTAGAAGCCATGATAACTTACGACTTTTTTTTTTTGTGAGCGTGGTTACACAATTAAATGGTCATTTGAATTGTTGGAGGGTAATAACATAAGCAGTGGCACGTATAACGAAAATGATCTGTATCTGCCTGTATTTCTATGTGTATTAATTAAGCAATTTTTGCGTAGAGAATAGTAACTTATGGGAACACATCATAGTTTTCAAAGAATAATCACATTTTAATTTGATAATGTATTGCAATGGTTAGCACGGGGCTTTTCTCCAAAAAAGATATAATGTTATGTATCGCTTATGCCTCTAGGCAACATCTCCCCCTCATAGAATTTGCCATCATTTTACTATGATCTTTACGGGAGGAGGGGGATTTGCATAAACGTGTACCTCGACAAAATCCTACCTATGGAGGCAGATACACCCGATTAAAATAACATCAAACGCTTCCTTGGAAGCAGCGATATCTACTTTATCTGACAGTAATTAGCTAAACTGACTGGAACGAAAACCTATTATTAGTGGAGCACAACTCCAGGATTTCAAAGATCCTCTTTTCAGACAAGAGAATGCAAATGCCCCAGAACGCGATCGTAACTAGATACACGTCGAGACCAGATTCCACATTCTGATTAGCGGCTCCCGAGAACCCGGCTGCTGCAGAGTCACTAGCGCCGGGCATTGTCCTCCGGGACACCGGAGCGCAGCTGGCCGCGCATACTCTCACGGCCGTCCAGGCTGCGCGCGGCAAAGGCAGGCTGCCTCGGTGCGATTGACCTGGTGGGCATCCTTGGTAAGAAACTCCGGGGCAGCGGAACCAAGACGGACCCTAGGGAACCTGAACAACCAGGAGGAGGGTGGCTGGAGGCGACTAAAGCCCCAGCGCGGGTCACAAGGCCAAGATCAGCTCTAGGTAGTGGGCAGAAGTCTCCTGCCCACTAGATCGGCCCTGAGCAGGGTTAGGGGTGTGAAGAGAAAGGGGGGCCAGGGCACGCTAGGCCCTTGTGCTGCCCACGCTCTGGACCCTCACGGGCCTCCAGCCACTGGGGCCTGAGCTACGTCCCTGTTGGACGGGGGCTGCCAAGGAGCAACCCGGTCAGGAGCTGCAGAAGAGAACCTCTCAAGCCCAGCCAAGGGTACCCGGCAGGGTAGTGGTGGCAGTGGGTTTGGGGGAGAGCGGACAGTGAGGGCCTGGGACTAGGGAGCAGATAGCCTTCTTCGTACTCAGTCTGGAGGCAACCCGTGCGCTCTTGGCAGCAGCGGCGGTTGCGTACTCCCAGCGCCCCTGGCCACGGGTCCTAAGATAAACCCCACTTTAGGGATGGACCTAGAGAAGTCCTAAGAACGAAGTGCTGCAGAGAACCAAGAGAATGTAGCAGAGAGAAACGCAACCTTCTGTTGGAAACTGGGGGAAGGGAGTTTCCGTAGCTTTTGTCCTTTACCATTTTTTTTTCTCTTAAAATCACTCAAAACAACGAACAAAAAGAACACCACCCAAAGAGGTGGAAGAAATTGAGAACCAGAAACATTCTCCAAGATGGTCTAGCCCGGGGGGGGGGGGGGGGGGGGGGGGGATGGGAATAGAGGAGTGGGGCAGGAGCGCAGCTTCCTTCTTTTAGGCTCGCCTGCCAAAGCGACGCACACCCACTAGGACCCCCACCCCACAGGGCCGCGCACTCACCCCCACCTCACTCTGGATCTTTTGCGCCCGAGGGGTTGCGATCCGCTGCAAAACCAGGCGCCGCCTTCTCTCTGCAGCCCCTGGCCTGGTTTAGAGACGTCGGGCCCCGCCTGGGACGTCAATAGTCTCAATGCCGAGAAGACAAGCACCCGGCGCCCCTGCGGCTGAAGAATGGGTGTACCAGCGCAAGGCCCTGCCCACAGAGGGTCTCCCCCACCGCCCGCCGGTCGCCGCCGCCCTAAGTACTCCCGGGTGCACGTGGCCCGCGCCGCATCCTAGCTCCCCGGGCGGCCTCAGAGGCTGACTCCCCGCACCATTTCCGCTCCCTCCTGAACAGCCCCGCCTCTCTCCCCTCCCGCCTTTTTCTCCTTGGCCTTGGGCACCCACAACTCCCAACGGCCGTGGGGCCCGCAGGGCAGTTCTCCACTTGCCCCCACTCCATCCCGTGGGTGCCACGCCCGGAGGCATTGTCCACCAGTCCCTGCACCTTCCACCCTCCCCTGCCAGCTGAGGCCGGTCTCCCCCAGCTCCACCATCCCGGCCGCCAAAAAATGCTTGGGGCGGCCAGGGGCGGATGTCGGGCGCCTCGATTAGGCTGGAACCGGTCTTTGTATTTTTCAAGGCCAGTGTTGCGCCTCGGTCTTTCTGTGGGCCCCACAGTAGTGACCGCTGCTCCTCAGTAGGCGAAGCGTGGTGGCTGGCGAATGTCTACTGTGAGGAAGATGAACCCCAGCAATGCCCAGTTCCCAGAACGTCAGGGGACCCCACAGCTTCGCCCAGAAAACACCTGGGGGCCGCATGAGGGCGCCACGTATGGGCTGGAGAAATGAGAAATACGCCTCAGAGGGTAAAAGCCTAGATCCAGGACCCGGGTCTCAATATGCAGAGAAGGCCTCCACAGCTGGCTCGCCTCCCCTGTGGCAGATACCGCTCTCAAGGCCATACGAGGCCACCTGATGTGTGCAGCACTCCAGCCACTCCATCACCGATGCAGTCACCAAACACTGATGCAGAATGGTGGACTTGCGGTGTACTGAGCACCTAACAAGTGTGGGGCCCGGCGCTAAGCTCCCGGCATGTTTTGTCCTTTATCCCTGGCAACAACCCCTGAAGAAGTATTGGGCTCCTTTTTGTAGACAAAGAAACTGCGGCTCAGAAACACCCCAGGCCACACATCGACTAGGTCAGGATTGGAACCAAGACCTACCAACCAAGGTCAGTAACAACTCCGTCCTCCTGTCTCTCACATACCTGCTTAGTGGGCAGCTGCAAGAGCTACTAGGACAAAGACAACCGGGACTCTGCCCCTCCCCGGGGTGGGGGCATAGTTTACCCCGGGCGACTAGGCCAGCAATATCTAGTACTAGGTGGGAAGTGATAAGTGACACGAATGTCCTTTACTAACATGCGCTGCAAGGTCAGATGCGGGAGAGACGACTTCCGGCTAGACGATCAGGGAGCGCTTCCTTTTGGAGGTGGTACTTGAGCAGAGCCTTGGAGAACAGCTTTCCTCTCATGGAGACAAGGGCAGGGAAGGCATTCCAAGTGGAGGGAAGAGCTTGAACAAAGTCAACAAGTCGGGAACAGACACGTTGCCCATCCATTGGTATACAAAACATTCCGTCTTCTTGGGAATCCAGAGGCCGGTATTTACAGACCAGGACGTTTTCTTGCCCTGCAGCAGCTGGAAAAACCACGCGCCTGGGCCATCCTTCCTGGCAGTTGGCTCGTGGACAAGAAGCCTCCCAGAACTGGCCCTGGCCAGGAAGATACGGCCAGGCGGGGAGGGAATCGGTAGTTCGGGGACCAGGGGCAGTGCAGCCTCGCCCACAACGACTTGGACTTCGCGACTCTATACTAGTCCTTTATTTCTGGTAGCGCCGCAGCACCCCACTCAGTGGATGTGGGGGGCGTGGTCCACATGAGCCGGAACCAATAGGGAGGGAGGCTGAGGCGAGAGGCCCGCCCCCGACGTGACGCACGACCCCCGGACACAGGCTTCGCAGCCCCGGCCCCAGTCCCTGCAGTGGCTGTAACAAAACCCAGACCCCCAGGTCCCGGCCAATGGAGGCGATTTAGACTGGAGCCGGACCGCGTCTGTCAAAAGCCCGACTCGGCAGCAGCGGCAGAGTCCAGAAGGGGAGCTGGAGCCGCAGCGCTGCTTCCCCGCCCCCGCCGGGATTTATTGAGTATTTGGACTGGACAATTAAGTGGCCCTGATGATGTTACCAAGCCCGGTCACCTCCACCCCTTTCTCAGTCAAAGACATTTTGAATCTGGAGCAGCAGCAGCAACAGCACTTCCACGGCGCGCACTTACAGGCGGACTTGGAGCACCACTTTCACTCGGCGCCGTGCATGCTGGCCGCCACCGAGGGGACGCAATTTTCTGACGGAGGAGAGGAAGACGAGGAAGAAGAGGGCGAGAAACTGTCCTATTTGAACTCACTAGCCACAGCCGACGGCCACGGGGGTTCGGGGCTCTGTCCGCAGAGCTATGTCCACACAGTCCTGCGAGACTCGTGTAGCGGGCCTAAGGAACATGAAGAGGAGCCCGAGGTCGTGAGGGACCGGAGCCAAAGTGAGTAGAGGGGGAAAGAGAACGCACCCGCACATCTGGAGCAATGGCGGAGCGCCCGCAAACAGCCCACAAACCTTGCCAGCACTGCTTCCCGCCCCCTTAACCTTTGGCTGGGGTCATGCCTCACCCTGGTCCACGACAGCTCCGCAAAGCACAGGTGCCTGCGAGGGAGCCGGGGCGGAGGGAAAAGGAAGAGGTGACCCCGACAACTACTCCTCCCGGAGAGGAGAGGCGATGCAAGCCCCCAAAAGAAGGGAAAGTAGTCTTGCTGCCCTGACGCTGATAAGCAACACGGGCTCAGCTGCTGGATTCTGACAACTCACAGCATTTTTGTTCCTCCCAAGACTTAGACAAGAGCTCAAATCTCTTCCTCTTTGACCCTAGGGTGAGACGAGGTCTTTGAGGCCAGACAGCCGTCCCCTCTTCTTCAAAAAGATGATCTAGGCAGGTTGTGTTGGCAGGGCGCAGGAACCTTGCTAGAGACAAGCTGGGTGGTTTCCTCACTTCTCTGCTTGGAGTTCAGTGTCCCTGGCACCCACAGCACCGGCAGAGAGGGAGGGGATGGTCGGAGAGTGCGTGGGAACACAGTCCATTAGGCGCGTGCATAGCGTTCACACCCCCGAGGCACTAGCCTTTTTTGAAAATTCATAATGTTATGCTTTGTGTGAAAAACGCGCGGAACCTAGTCCTAGATCCCAGCCGCTCATGGGAGGTGAATTGGGTAGGGAGATCGGACAGCTGAATAAAACCCCTAAGGAAGTGTTTGTTTCTGAGGGGAGAATCGAAGAATCTCTTCCCCAAGAGGAGGCTTGATGTGGCAGCAGCCAAGGCCTAGACTCCCGACACTTCGCCTGGGCCTAAAATCGACACGAAACGGTCTAAATCAATAAAATTTCTTTTTCTCTTTAAGATAATACAGACATCGTCACGCATTTAGCAGGAGGTCTGTTGTCTTTTAAAAGCCAAAAAAAAAAAAAAAAAAAGTTCCTAAGCAATGCAGGAGGGTCACACTCAAGCATTTCCAAAACAGAAAGATTTATTCACGCAATTCACGCATACGGGCCCCCAACTACCAATATGCTTCACACCTTCCGCTATCCGTAACCGAGTGGAAAGCAGAGGAGTTTGCAAACACTCTAGTTACTATGTAGTTGCAAACTTTCATCCCGAGAATCGTCATTAGCACGCCGAGCCCAACATTTACTACTCTCTTTCTCACAGATGCTCAAATTCTAAGCAAACCCGCACTAACTATCCCTCCCCGTGGAACGTGCTTCTGCCCACTAAGGGCGTTCTGAGGGTACTGGGGCTGTCGCAGGGCCCCATGGCGCCAGAAACCACAAACTTTCCAGAAAGCCCAGGCATTTACTACCGCATGCTCCGCGCTGCCACCAAAAGGGCCACAGCGCTCTGGGACAGGAGCCGCGGTAAGGCGGGGAACTGCTAAGGGACGCTGTTGTGCTTCTTCCGCAGAAAGCTGCCAGCTGAAGAAGCCTCTGGAGGCGGCCGGAGACTGTAAGGCGGCGGAGGAGAGCGACAGGCCCAAGCCACGCAGCCGCCGGAAGCCCCGGGTCCTCTTCTCGCAAGCCCAGGTCTTCGAGCTGGAACGCAGGTTCAAGCAGCAGCGGTACCTGTCCGCGCCCGAGCGCGAGCACCTCGCCAGCAGCCTGAAGCTCACGTCCACGCAGGTGAAGATTTGGTTCCAGAATCGCAGGTACAAGTGCAAGAGGCAGCGGCAGGACAAGTCCCTGGAGCTGGGGGCGCACGCGCCCCCGCCGCCGCCGCGCCGCGTGGCGGTGCCGGTGCTGGTGCGGGACGGCAAGCCGTGCGTCACGCCGGGTGCGCAAGCCTACGGCGCGCCCTACAGCGTGGGTGCGGGCGCCTACTCCTACAACAGCTTCCCCGCCTACGGCTATGGGAACTCGGCCGCAGCCGCCGCCGCCGCTGCTGCCGCCGCCGCCGCCGCCGCGGCCTACAGCGGCAGCTACGGCTGTGCGTACCCGGCTGGCGGCGGCGGCGGCGGCAGCGGGGGCGGCGGGGCTACCGCGGCGGCCGCGGCCATGCAGCCCGCCTGCAGCGCGGCCGGAGGCGGCCCCTTTGTGAACGTGAGCAACCTGGGCGGCTTCGCCGGCGGTGGCGGCGCGCAGCCCTTGCACCAGGGTGCCGCGGCCGGGGCTGCGTGCGCGCAGGGCACCTTGCAGGGCATCCGGGCCTGGTAGGGACGCGGCGGCTCACGCGGCGGGCGCCCCACTGCAGCCTGCACCGCGGGACTGAAGCGCGAGAAAGGCTGGAACCCAGGGCCAGGTCCTCTCGTTAAAAAAAAAAACAAACACAACCCCCCTACCCCCCAATACACATGTTTCGCTCCCCAGGGCCCCGGAACCCAGCTCTGGCGAAGCCTGGGGAAGGGGGCTGCGGGACGAGGAGGAGGCCCGGGACCGGTCGCAGAGACTGTCTCAGAGGCAGAAACTCCGGCTGGGTGCCGGGGAGGACAATGGCCCGGACTCTGGCCCCGAAGAGGGTGAGAGAGGCTGGGACTCTGGCTGCCGCTTGCTTCTTCCAGAGCAAGAAGGCCGTCTTTCCCCCTCGGCCTTCCCGCGGCCTCCTCGAAATGTCGACAGAAAGCCCAAGGACAAAAAGAAAAAAGAAAAGAAAAAAAGAAAAGCATGAAGGAGAGAAAAATGGGGTCGGGGCTTGAGAATCCCCAAGCCCCACGGACCCCTCTGCCTCTTTTGCGGCCCGGAGCGCCACACCACAGCCGATTTCTCTTTTCCCTACCGCCTGCCCCCCGCAGCAGATACCTCGGCCTGGATCTCCGGATCGTCAGGGTGTAGAACTCTGCGAGAAAAACCGGCGAAGCAAGATCAAACATGGGGGGGGGGGGTGCTGCGGGAGGGGGAATGAACAAATCTGGGAGCTGGTGGCCCGCGGGAGGTGTTACCAGGTTTCCTTTCTGTTTCATATTCTGTATTCAGCACATATAATATACCTATAACTACCCACACGCCGTGTACACACCCGCTGCCATACACTACAGGAGTCAATAAACAAGGTGCAATATTTCCAAACCATTGGCTACAGACTCTGTTTCCCCCCCACCCCCAGAAGTGGAGAGGGATCCTTTAGACAGGGCGGGTAGGGAAGGAGAAGGTGTGTAAGGGAAAGCAATCTTCCCCGGGCGTTCGCAGGCCTGGCCTCTCCTGGGCCAGCCCCGGGGGCTGCAAGTCTTGCGTCCTCTTGGTTTTGTCCATTAAATTTCTCTTTACTCTTGTGGGAGAACAGACCGGAGACTCGGGGCCTTTTGAGGTCCCCGGCTTTGTAATCCCCCCAAGTTTTACCAGATGCTTTGGCTAGTGTCTTTGGGCCTGCGTTAGACCAAGACTGAGAGACTCTGCCCCACCTCGGAGGTCGCCAGGGAAAAGGAAACCTCGCCCCCCGGGTCAGCCGGAGGCGGCGCGAAGGCGGCTCCTTCAGCTGCCGCGGCCGAGGCCTCCAGCGCGCCCAGGGGCGCTGCGCCCCGCCGCGGCCGAATTCTCCCCCTCGGCCGCCCTCCCTTCTCCCCCGGCGGCCGCGGCTTTATGCGGCTCCTTGTCACTTGCGGAGAATGCCTGTGCGAGGCCTGTGCTGCCACACGGCCGATTGTGAGCGTGCCAAGGCGGGTGAATGGGGAGGCCTCAGAGCGCCGCGCCATTGTGGGGCCGGGCCTAGCTGAAAGGCGGCTCCGGGCCGGGAAGGTGCGGAAAGAATGGCTTTTTATTGGAGTCCCGAACAAAAGGTGTGGTAGGAAGGCGAAGTCCCCTGCGCGAACAAAAACCCCAGCGCGTCGGGATTGACGTCCCCCCCCAGCTCCCCATTGCTTCTCAGAGCGGGGGCTTTGTGTAGCAGTCTGCTCCACAGAGGGACGGAGAAATGCGCGGGGGTTTTGTTCCCCACTTTTTGTGCGCTGGGGGAGGGAGCGGCAAGGGGGGACGGGGGCTGGGCGGGCAGCCGGGACGGGCGCGCTGATTAGGCCGGCCAGCCGCGGCGCGGAGACGTTCAGCGGGAGTCGGCGGCCTGAATGCAGGGTCATTATTGCTACAAGTTTAGCAATTTCGCCCTTTCTAGGAGGGGGCGGGGGCTGCTAGGCTGCGGCGGGGCCGCCGGGCTGGGGATCTGCAGAGACCGGGAGGAGGAGGAGGAAAAAAGGAAGGGAGGAAAGGAGGGAGGCAGGCAAGGGAATCCTCCGAAACCCGCTGACCGCCCAGGATGAGGCTTGGACGGGACCAAAAGGGCCTAGCGGGAGGCTGGAGAGGCGGCGCCTACGGGGCGAAGACCCTCCCTCTCCTCGCCTCTTCCCAGGCAGAAAAACCCTGGAGTTGAGTGTGAGTTATCGTGCACCAGGTTGCCGGTCTCTCAGCTCCTTGCCGCCAGTTCCCTCCTCTGCCTAAGCCTCCCAGGAGCTGGGACAACTCCTCCCACCACCCTTATCACCGCCCTGTCGCCCCAAGTCCCCTTCCTAGCGAGCCCTCTTCTGAAGCTATTATATTCCCGTGAGTTGCTTAGGCTAAGGGCTGGGGAGGGAATTCTCGCTTCCTAAGACGTTTCTCATGGCCTGCAGCCTCAGACCACTGACCCAGCCAGCCAGCCAGCCAGCCAGCCAGCCGTAATTTCCAGAACACCTGCTAATACATGTTCACTGGTACTGTTCTGGATGCTGGGGATAGTGGGGGGGAAAAAAAGGCACCAATGTCCACAGGCTCGTGGAGTTTATTTTAATGAGTGTGCCCAGGGACAGGGAGTTAGACAACAAAGAAGTAAATGTAAAAATAAGCAGATAAATTCTAAAAAGGAAATAGCACTAAGGGCTGAAGGGAGGGTTCTTTTGGAGTAGGTGATCAGAGAAAGCCACGTAAGTTGACACCTAAATGACGAAAGGGAAGCCAGTCCAAACAGGCCTTTGCTGTTGCAACCCCACTCCTCCACACTTGCCCTCCCCACGATACGGAATGCCCTTCCACCCCCATCTTTCTGGTGAACTCTTGCTCCCCCTTCAAGGCCAGGCTTCTTTCCTGAACCACCCAAGTGGAGGTAATCCCTCCCACATATATGCCACCAGAGTCTTAGGTACTTTCCAATACCACAACATCGTGTCATGCAAAGATTTATTTGTTTCTCTCCCTCCTCATGAGGTCCTAATGAGGTCATGGGCGACCAGGTTGACATCTTTTGTCCCCTGGGACAGATAACACAGTAAGTAGGAGATCATGGGACCAGAGTCCTTAAGGACCCTCCCCAGCTCATGCAGTGGCCCTGGTGATGTGAAGCTTCGGCACTGGGTGCTGGCTGCAAGGCATGTGCTGAGCTGGACTCTTAGCCCACCTGGGCGGGGCCAAGGCACCTGAAATCACCTGCAGAAGACACACAGCCCATGCAGATTCCAGAGAAAAGTCCTGCCTTTGGTACCCTGCAATGCTGCTGGGGACACAGCTTTCTGCAAGAGATTGTTACCCCTCTCCCTATAGCTCAAAACATAGGAAAGGAGGCTGAGAACTTGGAGATGACCTGATACCCTGGGCACAAAGTTTAGGGGTTGGGAGGGACACAGAGATAGGGAAAAGAGTGAGAACTCAAGCGGGAGGGGAGAAGAGCTGAGATGTGTATGATAAATCTGGGACCTGTAACGGGGACCCAGTTCCACTTCTCCAAATTTCCCTCGCTGAGGAGTATGGTAGGTGACCAAGAGCCTGCCCTGGCACTCCAGGACTGCTCACTTCCAACACTGGATTCCATCACCTGCGCTCTAGGAACCCAAGACTCTGGGAGCAGATGTCCTTGCTCTGCTGGGGGTTTCCTAAGTAAGCAACTCTTTTCCCCCCAGCCTAATCTGTTTCCGGCGGGCCTTGGCCTCTCGATGCTCCCAGCACCAGATCCCCACCTTCCTTGCCCGGCTTCCTCCCGGCCCGCATTAATCTTCCTCCATTCTGCATCCTCTCCTCTTTCGAAAAGAGGTGTGCGACCGTGATAGAGGAAGCAGACTAGTTCTAGGGATTGGCTTCCACACAGTTCGCGTGTCTTGAGATACTTAAAGCCAGACTGAACCAACTCCCTCCCTGCTCACTACACTTCCCCAGAGCCAGCAGTCTCCGGGTATAAATAGCTCCCATCGCTCGGGCTAAGTTGTCGGCCATCGAAGGGTGAAAACTCTTGACCAACACAGCTACCTCTCTTTGAGCTCCCTCTGCAGGGGAAAAGACACACCCCACCCGCAAGCCCAAATTGCTGGTTCACTGAATAGTTTTGTGAGCCGGGAGGAAGAGTAAAATGCCTTCTAATGATCCGTGAGACTTTGAGCAGGTGAAGTAAGTCACCCCTTTAGCTTCTAGCTTCTGAGCTCTAAGGCAGAGAAGGATAAACCGTATGATTTCAGAAGTCACTTCTGGCTCAAACTCTCCTTACTTCTCTGAATGCATGGATAATCCCTCCCTACCCAGGGACTCTTGCTGGGCTCATGGGTGGGGGGGTACGAGGTGGGGGGGGTCAGTGTTACTGGTGAGAGAGGTTAAGGCCAGCAATTTTTTCCTGCATTAGCCTAAGCTTGAGAGGAGTTAAGAGGTTGGCTCTGGAGCCAGCCTTCCTCCATTCTAACCTTAATGCCACCACAACCAGTAGTAGAGAATTTGAGTAAGTTAGGAGCACTCTGAACCTCAGTTTCCTCCTCTGTAAAATGGGTATAACACTTCTCTCATAGGTGTTTTTTTTTTTCTTTTACCTAAGCAAAGCGCACAAATAGTAAGTGCAATTAAGTGAGTTTTTATATATGTAAACACTTACAGGACTCAAATTAAATGAGGTGATCCTTGTAAAAGCAACTTAGCACAGTGTCTGGTATGTCTTGGGCCTTGCAGCCCTGGCGTTGGCCAGGCCGGCGTTAGCTGCCTTGTATGCAGAGAAGCCCAGGACTCAGTTCTGTCTTTGCAGCGCTCCCAGGTCCGCAGGGGGAGCGCGGCGGGCCCGGGGGATTCGCCACCCCAACACGGCGGGCACGCGTCACCACAGGCAGGCGGAGCTCGGAGAGCTTCGCGGAGGCTTGGACCTTGGAGGCTTCAGGGGAATTCGACTGAAGGAGAAGGTGCAAGGAGGTTCCGGGCGGAGCGGCGACCCTCCTCGGCCTCATCAGTGCAGGAAGAAAGGGTTGGGAGGGGAAACCGAGCCCCTCTCGGGAGAGCTTGCCCGGGGTCCGGCGCCCCGCTGCTCCGGGGCCCAGCCTGCGGGACCTTGGGCCGCGCGCCCCCGCGAAGGTGCGGCGGAAAGGCGGGGGCGCTTCTCCGGAGAACGACGCGTGCGGGGGGCGGGCTGGTTCCGTGCCTCGCTCGCAGCCTCCCGCTCCGGCGTTTACAGCTCTGGGCCGCGGAGCGAACTCCTGGGGCGCCTTCTCCCGAACCGACGGCCCGAGCCCCGGGAGGCCGGCGGACTGTCTGCCCGCGGAGTGCGGTGCTGGGCCGCGGCCGGGCCGGGCGCGAAGGGGGAGGATCCTCGGACCTGCGGCGGGCAGCGCAGGTGCCGCGGGGCCGGACACCGCCTCCCAGACAGGCCTGGCGCGGGAGCACACCCGCAAGCCCCGGGAGAGTTTGGCCTCCCCTCGCGGTGGCCGCCTGAACCTGCGGAGCCGGCCGTCCGGACGACACGACGCGATCCGGGCGCCCAGGTAGGACGCACCGGGGAGGGTGTGGTGAGCCGGGAAGGGCTCGGTGGGGAGTGCGGGGGAGGCCTCTGCGGGAGGGGGCACTGATCCCAAGGCCACATTTGCTTTTTTGAAAGGTCGCGCTCTTTCTCAGCCTAGGCTGTAGGTAACAGCAAAGTTTTCTGACGGGGCGTTTAGAAAATGTAACGAAGTATGAAACGCATGCAGAAGGGACGTCAGTGCACCAACACTGGCTGAATCCTCTAATATTGCCATGAGACCAAATCCCGGTGCAGAAACAGAACATTACTAGCCCCCCCTCCCCCGCCCCCGCAGGCTCCCTTGTGGTCACTGTCCCCACCGTCAAGGATAACCACTGTTTCTACCAGCACAGATTAGTTTTGCCTGGTTTGGAAAGTTAGATACGCGGAAGCCTGTAGTATGCATGCTTCTACGCCTGACTCCTTTCGTTTGTGACATTTATCGACCTTGCAGCGTGCACTTGGCGATAGCTCACTCTCATTACTTAAGAGTATCTCTTTGTATCAATGTGCGGCAGATGATTTACCCGCTGTGCTGCTGATGGGCCTTTGGGCGGTTTCTAGTGTTGGACTGTTGTGAATGGGGCGACCAAAGACATTCTAGAGCAGCATCCAGCAGAACTTTCTGCAGTGATGGAAATGTTCTCGGTCTGTGCTGGCCAATAAGGTAGCGAGCACGTGAGCTTGAAATGTGCTTGGGTGAGGAATTGGATTTTTAATTTTCTTAAATTGTAGTTAATTTAAATAGAAAGTCATGCCTGGGACAGCACAGTTCTAACCCGTCTTTTGAGGACTGTAGTCAATGTTTCTATTCAGTTTACACCTAGGAGTGCAATCATTGTGTCGGGGAAATGAACACCAGCTTCCAGTGTGTACTGAGCGGTTGTCTCAAGTTGGCGCATCTATTTTCACCCCCACCGGCTGTAGCACCACGTGTTGCTCAACTCAATATTTTCATTTCATTTCTTTTTCATTTTAGCAGTTCTGCTGAGCCTGTAGTTAAAATGAGGCTTTTGTTCGCTTTTAAGCAAGATAATGAAAATTGCCACTTATACCATAGTAAAGGTGATGATCATGGTTAGAGGGGTTCTTGGGGACAGAGCATTGTTATAGGGTCTTAAGTTTACCCTCTATACCACCCCACCCCTGCGTCAGGCCTCCCACCCAGTCAACCTTCTCCCCTGGAAACTGGACCTGGGTTAGCAAGGCATTAGGACATTAGGAAGGGGCTGTGTGTTGGGAGGTGATCCATTTCCCTCAGCCCTTGTTACATTATGCGTCCTTCAAATCAACACCCCTCTCCCTTTACTGTTACTTATTGGAATATGCCATCAGAGGGGATGATGAGATTGCCTGGCAGGCTACAGCCATGGCACAAAAGCCAGATTTTGTGCTGGCTTAGTTTTAGTGTACAGCTTGATTCTGCTTTCTTTCTTTCTTTATTTATTTTTATTCTGCTTTCTATAAAATGGCATTAATACCATCTCTGCTGCCTCACTGGTTTGCTGAGAAGCAAAGTAAACCCGAGGAGGCAGCAGTGTGTGTGTGTGTGTGTGTGTGTGTGTGTGTGTGTGTGTCTTTGTAGAAATTCTTTCTAAACCTCCGAATTATCATGTGAATTAGGTATTCCTTCTTTACACATGCAGACACTGAGGCTGTGAGACACGGAACCACTCTCCTCTAGGCCACACAGATAGTTAACAGCAGTAACCCCAAGAGGACTTTCCACCTGTGCCACCGAAAACAGTTCTGACGTTTTTCTTAAATTTCCCTTCCGTGGGTAAACAGAGCCCTGGCTGGTACAGATCTTGAAATCCTGGATCAAATTTGATGTCCTCTGTGAAGACTCCCTTTGGACAGAACCAAAGTGATCATTAACCACTTGTGTGTGGCTAGTTAAGCAGAGGAATTGTTTGTTATGTTGTAATAATAGTGAAATTCACTTGGTGTGATACGTGAGTTCTTGGAAAGCTGTGTGCAAATAGTCTTTTGCTTGTGGGGAGGGAGAAAAATTGAGTACATTTCAATTTCATCTCTGCAATTTGTTGCCTAAAAGTATCCCAATATTAGTTATTTTATAAGTGAAGGATCCTTTTGAAATATGAATAATAACACAATATTTGGGGTACCTGGGTGGCTCAGTCGGTTAAGTGTCTGCTTTCAGGCTCAGGTCATGGTCCTGGATCGTGGGATTGAGCCCCACATCAGGCTCCCTGCTCAGTGGGGACCCTGCTTCTCTTTCTTCCTGCTCATGCTCTTTCTCTTGCTTGCTTTCTCTAAGTATCTTTTTAAAAATGAACACATTTTCTTTGTAAGATTGGGTTTTCAAGTAATAAACAAGAGCAACTCAAAATCATATATAAGATTCATCAACATTTCACATATATTTCCTCTTTTACTGAGAAGGGTTCTCGTGAAAGTTTCACCTGGACCATCTTGACATCTCAAGTTCTTTGGGAGGTCCACAGATAAGTTCTCTATCCAGTTGAGAAATAAGTAAAAACCCAGTGTCCCTAGTGGCTACTGGTGGATTCATTAGCTTGGGTGAGTTTTACAATCCCTGATCATTCGGTGGGCCTCTCAGAGAAGGGGTTCAAGAATCAAATGGGTTTTAGATTAGATGAGCTTCAAAGGTCCCTTTCAGCCATGAGATTCTTTAAATCTGTTATATACCTATAGATCCAGCATAAATTTCAGCTGTGCTGGTGGGAAGCGCCTCAGAAACTGCCAGAGTCCAACTTCTTTCTGATGCTGAATCCTGTGGTGCTACATCCCAGGCAAGTAACAGTCCCATGTCTCCTGGATCAACCATGGGCGAGAACCACTCACCCCTCCACTCCCTAAGTGTGAGAAAGTTCTGCCTTATATTCAGATGAAATCTTCCTCCTGTAGCTTCTATCAGAGGCTCCTCCTTTCATTCATCCTTTTTTTTTTTTTTTTAAGTAGTCTTTACACCCAGTCTGGAGCCCAACATGGACCCAACACGGGGCTTGAATTCGTGATCTTGAGATCAGGAGCTGAGCTGAGATCAAGAGTAGACACTTAAGGAACTGAGCCAGATGTCCCTTTCAGCTGTTCCTCCTTGTGCCACAGATGTCTACTTCTTCTGCATGGCAGTTCTTCAAGTATCTGAAGCCAGCCATTGACTCCCATGATTCTCCGTGCGAAACAGCCTCAGTTTCTTTGACTATTCTCTGCTTCCCAGCCATTCTTCAGTGGATTTTCTCTAGCTCGCCCATTTCTTCTGTGCCTGGAAGGTTCTGATACATTCCCTACAGGTGGTCTCCTCCTCATCAGCCTTTGACTACTTTCATCTTCATCTTCCCATATTCTTCTGAGAAAGCTGAGGTCCACTGGGAGGCTCTCTTGCACAGGTCCCACTCTCCTCAATTTATGTTTTAATTCCTTAGTCTTCAGAGGAATAAGCATCCATTCCCTCTAAAATAACACTACTCCTTAAAGCCTTGATATATTTTCTTTCTTACTTCTAGAAACGGTGCTTCTTATTTTGAGTTCTGAGATCCCCTCACCCTACAATTCAGTATTCTCTGCCTTCCTTTCTTTCACCATGAAACATGTAGCGATCTTGTCATATTATCTTCTCTTAACACTGGTGCCCCTTCCTCAAATATCTTTCCTCCCCATTTTGGGTCAGATTTCTGAATATGTGTCTTCCCCAGCTACTTCCCTTTCCCTCAGTCTACATGATTCTTTCCTCCCAAGTGGTGAGTACTGATCTCACTTAGAAGTGATTTTTGTGGTCAGCTGGTTCAGCTGTTTCCCTGATACCTGGTTCCCTTTTCCAGCACTCCTGAGGAGTTAAACTCCTGCCATTCTCCCTTAATTATCTGAGATTCATTCTACTCAGGCTTGTGCTTTGTTACCTCTCTTCAGTGTTTGGCACAGTGACATTTTTTCCTAGAAAGTCTTATTGTGGTTTTGACACTCTGTACTATCCTGATCAATTTCTTTCTCAATGAGTAGTTATCTTCTTCCTCCAGCCCCACTTAATGGAGCCTCCAAGGCTCTTCTGGACTCTTGCTGTCCTAAAGCTTGTCTGCCCACACAGCATCAACTATCACTTTTATACTAAGGAGCCCTTAATCTACACCTTTATCTTGGTCTCCCTCTGATGTTTTATTTTCAAATGCCAGGGGGTTATTCAACTTGTACCTGTACCTTTGTCGTCTCAAGGTCATCACCACTCCCCCAAACTACTCACATCTCAACTTTTGCCAGTGGCATCATCTTTCCTTGTTCTCTTCCCTTTGGTTGGAATCAATCAACGAATGAGTTCCCTGAATGTCTCTCTTCACTCAGAGCAGAAAGAGTGGGGAAACCTAATACATTTCAGAGACTAGGCTCTGCATATCCTCACCCATTTAATACAATAACCATCCTGAAAAGTAAGTGCCATCATCTATGTCTTATGGGTTAAGAAATCAAAAGTTGAGAATACAAACATCTTGCTCAAGGACTTGCCCAGTTTTTAAGTGACAGATTTCAGGGTATAAATCAAAATCAAGATCTGATTCCAAAGCCTAAATACTTTACTATAATGACCTCCTAATTTGTCAACTTGGCTTGGGCAGATCGCGGATAAAACTCAACCTCACACCAGCACCAGATTCTTTTTCTTCAAATGCTTCTTCATTAAAGGTACCTATGTCTTCTCAACAGTGCTATGGCTCTTCATTGTGGATAGGATCAAATGGACTTTCAAGACCACTGTTGAACCCTCATTACCATGTCTAATCAATGGAATTTCTCATTATTTGTAAATGATCTACACAGTCTTCTCACTGTACCTCTCCCTGACCCATTTATCTGCCATGCTCATTCCTGGGGACCCTCTGAGCTCTCACCCTTCTTAATTCCAAGCCCATTGTCCCCCAACTATGAAAGCTTTTCCAGCTACCATGGCTCACAGTGATCACATGTCCCATTATCTTGACATAGACTTAATAGCCTCTGTTGCATAAC